TTCTCCCTCCACTCTGTCTGATTTAAAACTGGAAATAGGTCATTTGGTGAAAGAGATGAACAGACCATAGGAGAGCTGGAGCTAATCGCAGCGGACACTTGGTGAGAGGCAGGCTAGTGCCTGGACACATCACCAACATATTGCAAGGCTGACATACAAAGACAAATAAAAATCATTCACACCTACAAGCAGTTTAGAGTCTCCACTTAACCCAAGCTGCATGTGTTTGGACTGTGGGAGGAAGCCAGAGAAAAAAAAAACCCACATGCACACTCCACACAAAAAAGCCCTGGTTGGTCAAACCCCTTCTTTCGGTGAGGTGACAGTGTTAACACTGCACCACTGTTCCGCCCCATTGTTAAATTAGACAAAAACAAAAGGAGCTTTTTGCAATGTTCTTTCTCTGACCAGGGACGGAAATGAGGAAAAACCCAATGATGGTTTCTAGAAACTCCCCTTAGTTCAGTGCCTTTACAGTAATTACCAAGGGATAGAAAACTGTAACTTTCCCAGTGAGGCTCAATCTATACAAAATGATAAAAAAAACTCTTTTGTAGGTAAATGCACTCGCCACTCATCACATTGCAAGAAAACCTTAGTGAAGTAACCAGCATTGCTTCAGCTTGGCCACTGTCAAAGACGAGTGCTTGCTGAAATCAGTAAAAATTCAAAGGCTAAAATTCCAAGAGAAATTTAAAGTTCAATGACATTGATAATTTCTTTAAATCAATTTGTCATTATCAACCAATAATCTTAAAAACTTAAATAAGTGCATTGGTTGTAACACATGCAGAATAAGAGAGACTGGGGTGTTAAATCTCGCTGTGTTTTCTGTTTATTAGGATTACTCTTTTTTTACTCAATTTTTATATTGACAGTTTTCTATAGGCTAACATAAATGATCTTAGCATATGAAATTTTGGTAACACTTTAGTTTAGGGAACCCAATATTAGTCATTAATACATAACTAATAAGGATATCTATTAGTGCTTAGTAAGGTTTTTTATTAAGCATCTGCATACATGTATTAGGTCTTAATTGAACACATTCTTATTTGTGCTTAACAACTGGTTTATTCTCGGTAAATCCTTAGAAGGCCACTAGTTGGCCATGATCGTAAGTTATTATTATTTAGTATGGGTCAAAATAAAGAGGCTATAGACTCCTTATACACTGTCTTAATATGCTACCAATTGAGACAGAGTAGCAACATATTGCGACAATGTATTAGGAGTCGACTTTGATCCACACTATATATCAGCAACTTAACCTCAAGACTAACTAGCTGCTTATTAAGGGTTTGTCAAGAATAAATGACCTATTCAGTAAGAATAAGAAATTGTTGAATAAATACCTAATACATATGTAGTGATGCTTAATGCAGATCTTATTGATCATTAACACATACACATATTACTCATGTATTAGTGGCTAACATTGTGTTCCCTGAACTAAAGTGTTACTGAAATTTCCAAGCAGGAGCTTTCAGTTATTTGCAGATTGAAGGCTAATTACAAGCTGCAGATCATTCTTTCACAAAAATCTAAAGACAAAAATCTAAAGACAACATTAAGAGTAATTAAATGTTTTCTGTAGATTGACCTGCAAGCTTTGTGAATACTCTAGTATTTCTCATTTGTTTCAATAAAGAGATGAAGCAAGACTGATAAACTGTGACTGCATCTTGTGGCCGGCCAAGGTAATCAGCTAGATAATTAAGTAGTCCATTTGTCATTTTCATGGTTCATGTCAGCTTCTTCACATCATTTTGTCAGATTTCTAAGCCTCCTTTCACCTATGAATTATCCTCCCACCTGTTATTTCTTCTTCCCTCTTCACCTTCCTCCCATCACTGTTCATCTTCCTACTCACTCCTCCTCCTTCTCCTCCTCCACCACCTCTCAACACGCTTCATCTCTCTCCTCACTCTGCTCTCCCTCTCTCCTCATCTCCCTCCTACGATCTGAGCGCTTTCACGAGCCACCATACCACAGTGCTTGTGTGTGCGTGTGTGCGTGCGTGAGTCACACAGATGCTGCATTGCAGGGCTCTCCTTTCAGGGTCGCCTCAACGCAGAAGCCTGAGGGCAGGAGTGGAGCTCTGGGATGCAAGATTGGGTTCTTCTGAGTGTGTGTGTGGGTGTATGTGGGTGTATGTTGGTGTGTGTGTGTGTGTGTGTTCATACATGTCTCATGCAGATATATGTCAGGCTCATATTTGAATGCATGCTTAAGTGAGTCTGAAATGTTGCTTATTTAAGTCTATTTACTCACTTGCCAAGAGTTAGATGAGAAGATCAGTACCACTCTTGTGTATAAAATGATAAATATACATCTGACATCAGCAGCTAGCTGGCTTAGCTTAGCATAAAGACTCGAAACACAACCAACTCATCATCTTTAGGGGATAATGTGCCCTTTTTTTGGCAAGGACCAAAAACGTTCTGGAGTCTCAGCTGGTTGCCTGGAAACAGCTCCTGGACAAAAATAATCTGGCACATAACCCAAAATAAAACAGGTATATTGTCAACTTCACATTTTGTATTTTGCAGAAGTACTAGAACATAACTAGGTAGATTTGTTACCACATGACGAGGCCAGATTTGTTGTTTCCGCCTTCTCCAGTGTTAATGCTAAGCTTAAGATAACTGGCATCTGGCTCCAACTACATATTTATTTACCTTAAAAGGACAATGGTATCAATTTTCTCAAATAACTCTTGGCAAGAAAGTAAATGGAAAAAAAAATGTTTTTATGAAAGAAAATGTTTGTTAGTCCTGGGGTGGTTTTAGTAGTTCTCAATAAAGGGTTTATGAGTCATTCTCATTGTTAATACTTCTTCACATTATGTTGGACTGAAAATATCCTTTTTGACCTGATTAGAGAAGCTTTCAGTGTCATGGTCTTTGGTGAATGCAGCTTCAAAACCCACTTGTGATTTTTTTACATGAAAGGAAAAAGATGCTGAACAGCAGCAGAAATTAATGCCTATAAGTAGAGTCAATCCAGGAATTATGGTATTAGTGTCTTTAAAATCGATGGCCAAGAACTGGTAAAGATGAGAGGATACAACAAAAACAGGCCCGAGTAGGAAAAGACAACCAATCATTCATTTGTATAGATTATGAGCCACTTCAGTCTTGAGCATCCCTCCTCAATGATACTGATTTGAGCTTGTCAACAGTATTTTATTCGATATTATTCGTTAGTATCATTTTTATTTCTACACGCAAGTTTTCCTATTTGTGCCATTGTTCTCTCATACTGTTCATTTAAGGTACAAAATATGTAACTTCAACCACTAGGGGTCTCTCATTTAAAAATATAATAAATGAGGTAATGTATTCAAGTTTTATTCACGTTGTGCAGCATATCACAAGAATAATCATGATCCATTATAGGTTAACGACCAAAAACAGTGAAGGAAAAAGCAGTCAACTGACTAACTAGCTAGCAGTGGGTTTTTCCATCGTTATATAGAACTGAAGTTATATCAGTGTCGGGGGAAAGGTGTAATGCAATTAAAAGGTGACCAATATGAAATGTCCCATTACCATGAACAAAATTGGGATTTATGAGTTTGAACATTTTGAACAATGTCAGTGCACAAGTCAACAAAATATAAAACATAGCATGTTGTAGATTTTAATGAAGAATTATTAAATATATCTTTAAGGCCACAGGGTTTTCACTAAATATTGTCTTTTGTTATGATGAGTAATTTTGTAATATTTTTTAATTTCTTTTGGAATCAATCAGCAAACACTAGATGACTTAGTTATACATGATGAATGGAAAACAGACTATGGCACCAACCAGAGAACCACACAATCAAATTGCTTCTTAGTAAAACCTGAATTAGTTGTTTTAGTTGAAAGTTTCCTAATAACTTTCAGTTTTTAACACATTTTGACCATTATGTGAAACTTGCTTGTGATTTTGCATGAAACAATTGGAGGGAAAACAACCCACCTCATATAAACATGCATAAATAGATAATGGCAGACGCACGTTAAAAAATATCAACTCTAACCCACCATCCACTACCTGGAACTACGTCTTTGTACGAGTGCAGAAAACAAAGAGAAGCCATGAAAGCACGACTGCGTTTCAGTGGGCCTTGGTGCTGATTGTCTCACTAAAGCAGCTCTTCTCTTCCCACTCAATACCCACTTCCCACTCACAGCTCCTAGCAGCCTGCACTCACATGTACATCCACCCACACAGCCTTTTCATCTGTGGAGGTACTTTCAGTCTCTCTGTCTCTTCTTTTTCTCTTTCTGACAGGTATTCGCCATGTCTCAAATGTTTAGGACAAATGAATGTGGTCCTGAAAAGTCTCAGTGCTGATTCTGTATGAGGTTCTGGTGTCATTCACTCAGGCATGGCGAGGCGCCACAGCAATAATGGTGCATAATTTAGCTTGACCTCTCATCATCATATTGCCAATAACAATAAATAATATTACGGAATAAGAGTAGAAACCTGGTCAAAGCTAGATTCATATTGTTTAGATTAAAATTTCACATTCATGTGAAGGTTATAATTGAAATATATTAGGGGTAAAGCTAGGTCATAGGTGAACAACAGGAGGGTAAAACCAAAATGTGTTGGTGCACATTCAGGGTCAATATCTGCTTTATCAAACAAAGGTAATGATACTGCATGTGAAAAACCTGAAATTAAGTATTTTCAATATTTTAGTTTTAAATGGTAATGAATGCACTTGGGGAGAGAGATAATATTCACATATAACAACGTAGTGTATGAAAAGTGACAAACAATAAATGTCTTAGTCAGCTAGTGCAGAGAGGTGAGAGGTGCAATGGGAAGTAACAAGAGCTAGTGAGAAAGGGAGATGGTGTGGGATGTCTTTGTGCAGGAAAATAAACATTCTTACAAGTTCTGAGGGCTAAATGATTGTGCAGCCAAATTTAGTTTGTGATTTTGCAATCTTAGAAAATAGTGACCACAATACAACATACATCAGGCATCCTTACCTGGTCAGTTGGTCTAGGACTTGAGAAGATGACACAAGCTGCCCTCTCTCTAAATCTCACAGGGTTGGTGTCAGGATTTTTAGAAGATTAATGTAAACCAAGTGGGGCCAGGATCACAGTTGCATCTGTTAATTATGAAAAATAATATCAGTATAATTATATATATATATATATATATATGTTTATACTTTTCTGGGGACAACGGGAAGGAAGAAAGAAAGAAAGCTGGAGCACATAAAGCAATAATCTCAAAAGTTATTATTTGGTAATCTCAGAAAAGATGAGGGGTAAAGAGAAGGAGGTTGATTCCAGCTATGTTTCTTTGAGCTGTTCCACACAGCAGAGGCACAAAAGATAAAAAATTACATATACATCTCTGTCCAAGCTTTAAAGACCATAAAAATACACCAGGGAATAGGTACACCAGGAATAGGTACAGGATTAATGATCATGGGTTGCATTAAAAACATATTTCGAAGTTGGATTAGACTGCATATCTTCCAGCAAGGTGCACATAACAAACTGTCAATTGTAAACAGTATAAACACACATCATCTGTTGTGGAGATAATTTGCATATAAACAGTTTAAAATAAGCATTTGTTGTTCAGTGATGTGATGAAATAGTTCATATTTAATTAAAAAGATGGTACTATAAACAAATAACCACCATGATGGAAAAACATGAACATAATGTAATTAAATGAAAAGTTATAAAAATTGAGTTAACTAAGCACCTTAGTATATACTTATACACTAAGTAGTGTTGAATAATAAGTGGAGTAACATCAGGCATACTCTGTATTCTCTCTACTACATCCACTAATAATCCACTTTTGGTTACAGGGACCATGTTGCTTCAAACAAAAAGGCATTTGATTTTCTGAATCGGATTTTTGCTTGAGCATGAGGCTGCAGAAACAGAAAAAAGGGAGGAACAGCTGCCCTGAGTCTGGATAAAGTTAATATATATATACTACCTAACTACTACTAAACAAACTTTCGAGGTTTTTATGGTCAGATTATTTATAATTTTGGACCAAACCAAGATAACAATTTCCCCCTGCTTTCAGTCGAGCTGCCTGCTGACATCAGAGTGATGTCGATGTTCCCATCTAATATGTGGTAAGAAAGTTGTCATTGTCCATTGCCAGAACACCTTAACACACTAAAGCTGTTACTGTATGTATCCTGCTTCTGCTTTTACCATTTAATCACTACAATTGTCCGTATAAACATAGACATTTGTAGAGGATAAAAGTCTGTAAAAGCACATATTCATACTTTGCAATAGATACATCTCTGCCACAATCATGAAATAACCAGCATATTCCACTTCTGCCCCATCCTGCTACAGAAGTATGGACAGTACCTTAACAATTACAAATGTAATCATACACACTTTAATAAAACTTTAAGAGCAGAGTGCTGATGAGGTCTGCAGCTTTTCTGAAGGATCAAAGCTGAGTGAGTGAGTCAGCAGCACCACCAAGTTTTTTTGTTTTTTTTTAACCATATTGCAAAAAGTGACTTATGCTCTTACGTCCCACTCAATAAAAGAGGAGTTCAAAATTCAAACCATTTGTTGTCCCAGTCTTTCATACCCAGGAAGTTTCAATACAATTCACACCTTAGGACACATGACTCACATGTGGGGGTGGATGGGTCAATGACAGTGGGTCCAACCTCTCAGGTATCCTCAATGACTCCTAACGACCCTACAAGTCAAATACCTGGGACCCCCAGCAATCTGTTATGACTAGGAAGCCTCTTGGATGAGAGGTAAAACGTCTTCAAGAAACTCAATCAAGTCCAGTTGACCTGAATCTCCACAAGACTTAACTTCTTCCATTGCGGTAACATCCTTAATACAGAACAGAAAGAGCAGAGGGCCTGTAGCCAAGTCAGCCAAACCCTCGGAGCTTTGAAACCAACAATGTTTAGAAAAGCAGAAGAGACATTCATATTTCTTGCCTCAGCTTAGCAGTAGTCAAGGGTCGCAAGTGAGTCATACATCAGACAAGGACCTTGGATAGGTCTGTATATATTTGTGTGAGGTAAAGTACAAGTTGGTTTGTACACAGCACATTACATCAGAGACATCTTACCTCAGGCGAACGGTGCATCTCTGCAGCGTATTATGAAATGTTATGGCACTCTGAGGTGCTAACACTCACGTCTCTTTTTAAACCCCTTCTGGTCCTCTTTCAGGAGGAATAGATTTTTTAAAGAATTTTTATAGGGCTATAAACACATGTGGCATCAAAGGACAATAAAAGTGAATCAGAGATTATTGTACAGCTAAAAAAAAGCTACTAACAAATCTGTAAAGATTAAAGAAAATGTTTCGAGGTAAAATGACTCATAATAAGTAAAAAAATAACTTTTTGTGGATGCCAGATACAAACTTGAACTGTGGTGACCCAGGCCAACAGCAGAAGAAACCAGAAGCAGGTCTGGTGAAGCTCTGGAGCTGAGGCCAGTCTCTGGCAAACACACTCACCAATTAGTCCAGTAGGTTATTACAGCCTTTGCAAAGCTTCGTGGATCTAAGTTATACCATGTGTTTAGACCGCCAGGGCTGTCGTGTAGAGTAGATCTGTAGCTGCCAAGAACCTTCATGTCCAAGAAGAGGGACATCAAAACAGAAAACTGATCAACTTCCTTTTTCTGAATGACTGCAGATATATCTAATAGAGCATTTTAATTTGTTTTGTCGAAAAGTAATTACATTCACCGTCAGCAATTAGAACTGAGAACCTAAAGATAAAAAATAAGAGCTGCGTCGCTGCCAAACTAAAAACAATCCTGACATCATAGGATACATCGAGATGGACAACCTGACATCTTTCAATCGCAACCAGGTTGCTGGCTGCAGTATGGGTCAGAAATCCCACACCCTTCATGTCAGTGAAGACAACGGACAAGGACAAAACTAAATCAAATTCATTTTAAAAGAGTCATAGTTCAAAGAGGTCAAATATAGTAAATGTGCTAATTCATCAAGTCTTTGCAAGAAAAAAAGGTTTCAGCTTTAGATTATGCAGTCACACAGTAAAATGGGTTCATGGAAGCTTTGATTCTAAATCATATGGTTATGTAAAGCTTACAATTTATATGAGCGTGTGCTCTGCAAGCTAAAGCCTTTACCTCTGCACAGCAGCAGGACTCTTACGGAAGCTGAAGACTGTATTGACTCTAGTATTGACTAGAGTTTAAACTACATTGAAGACAAAACCAACATTTTTGTAACAAATACCCCAAAAATGCTCAAAAATGTTTTAACCAGTGACAACTTTAAAGTTCTCTTGAAAATAAAAAAGGAAATGACCAGAGAGGAGATCTTGAGTCACCTCAGAGCACAGAGGGCAAGTTTTTACCCCACAAGTAATTACTGCATTGGCGGAACTTAATGACAGTAATCCACCAATTAACTTTACACTGCTCCTTATGTCCATGTGGCAGCGGTCAGGAAAGCTGTATTATATCAAATTGATACCTAAAATGCTAAATCTGGGCTATTCAATTGGATTTTCAGAGTTTAAGCTGGACAAAGTGATTATTCTTCTCTATAAGCCTCTCATTTGTCATCGCTCTCACTAGTGCTCTGATCAACTGTGTGTGTGTGAAGGCTCATATGCTCTTCATTAAAGAAAGATGACAGCATTAAAAAACTGTCACATGCATTGACTTCTAGAGTTAGTTTTATTTGCAAATGTATATTTAAAATTTGCATTTTTGGCTTTATTGTATTGAGGGCTGACCAACACACTCTCCCCATCTTTTTCCCCATGTTACAGTTTATGTTTTTTTTAAATAAATGTAGTAAATGAAATAGATGAAATAACTGATTGAATTTAAGTAAAGTAAGTATGCAAGTATGAACTGCAGCTGTCTAGATGGTGAGGCCAAACTAACTCAGGCTTCTTTAAGTACTATTCAACTTTAAGTAAGTCCATCAAACTTGGACAATGCAATCAAACAATGAAGCCTTTCAATGGTTTCCATCCATTAAGGAGAATTGTCTGCAATTAAAACAGATTATTCAACCCATACATTTTTTACAGTTTACACTGTTATTCATTGCTCAGTCTTAAAGACACATGGACGGAATGAGATTATCAAGAGGAAAAGAAAGTCGAGGTGAAAAAGCTCTCAAGCTATTCCGGTCTTTGAATAACTAACATCCATTCAAAGACTGAATATACTGAGTTTAACTGCAGTGAATCCAATCAAACCATGAGCAGAATTACCACTGATCTTTTCTGTTTTAACAAGTATAAATGTAACATTTGCATGAAAAACATGTTGCTTCTTATTCTGTTTTGAAAGTCTTGTTTCTGAAGGCCATACCAAAATTGCTGAATAAAAAAATACAAATCAGCAAATATTCTATTCAGAATGAGAATCCCTAGTAAATATGTATGAGCACGTTGAAAACAGAAGAAGGAGAGAGAAAGACAAAGTGAGGAAAGGACACTGAATTGCAGTCGGGAGCTCGGAGAGATGAAAATGAAACAAGAGAGAGGGATGAAAAGAGATGCAGAGGAGAGGTGGACAAGCAGAGAGAGAGAGAGAGAAATGTAAAGAATCAAATCTGAGGGGTGTAGGAAGTTTTATGTTCCCCTTATTTTTGGAATGAATAAGGGGGTAAGAATAATACATGAGATTTTAACTGATCCGTTAAGCCAACAAGATTTTGGGATATTAGTTATTGTTTTAATAATTAATTATCTGTTAATAGTATCTCTTACTGTGTACTTACCACTCATCTACTCTACAAAACAAACTGACCTGGTGATAAATCCAGTAAAACGGACATAAGACATTTGGTAACGTTTGCTCATTTTGTTTTTCTGATTACTTAAGACCTAGTCTTCAGTGATAAAAAAGTAAATCAAAACTTTGGCTTAAAATTTGAGTAAATTTTGAGTTATCTCAAAGCTTATGGAGACATTTGGTATACAGAACACATCTCAACAAAATACATAGATATAAATGCAGGCATATTATGACTTTGAGGGTGTAGTTTAACTTGAAGTGAGTAGTGCTACCTCTGTTTGTAGTGGCTAAGAAGTATGTAATAATTAATATGAGACCTTCAGGATTAATGGCTGTCAACAAAGTGAAACATGGACAGCTTTGCGTTGCCTGCCTTTCTGGTTCAGTCACCGCCATGTGTGACGGAGGAGTGAGGATGAGAAGCTAAACAAACAGGAGAAGGTGAATCCGACCTGCTGGGAAATGCCACCAACGCTTTCCTTCACAAAGACAGCAGGGGAGAGAGACAAGGAGGCTTGCATGTTTTTTCCCACGTGCACATTGTTGTTAGATACTGACCAGCAGTGCCCTGGGAGGCAATACACCTGTGTGTTCATGTAATTGTACAAAAGAGTTGGTGGGAGTGGAAAGAATTTAAATAAACATCTGAAATATCAGTACTGATTGTTTAACTGAGTATTTTGAGAGAACATTGAATAAAAATCTGCCAGTGAATAGACTGCTGTCTCTTGCAGTCAGTCAGGACCGACTACAGTAAATCATATATATGTTAAGTGATGAGGAAGCTGCTCAGAACAGGGGTTCCCAACCTCATTGGTGCAGACAACTGTTATAGTATTGGCAGTTGTGTTGTTGGATGGACAGTGTGGGTAAGTGAGGGATGGTGTGGCAATTCACAACTGAATTAATAAAAGTCAAACCTTGGTATATTCTAAAAATACACATGAGGTCTTTTATCTCTCCTATCATCTTTAAGGAATCTCTCAATGTTAGTTTATTTTCTAAATTCATGTTAGTTGTCTAGTTACAGAAACAGGAACACAGCACATGTAGAGTAGATGGATGAGTAGTTATGTGGGTGATGACAGACTGACGGCCGATGATTAATTACTTTATCTCACATCCGTTATCGTTTTGTTGTGGGCGTGATAGGAAGTGATGAACAAAGATGTTGCACACACAGACTATGCCATGTTCAAAGTGAGTTATGTTATTATTGCAATTCTTCTTTACTGAATAATTGAAACTGCAGACATAGCCCACATTCCTTTCTGAAAAGGTAAAATGCACATTGGTGCAGACTGGATGAATTTCCATTAGTTTGCATATCAGAATATCTCTGCAATGCTGCCAGGCTGTTCATTGAGTCTGGATAACAAAAGACTTTGACATGTCTCCAGATTTATTTTAAAATTTTAGAATAAAAGGAACATTTTAGCTTCACAGTTCACACCTACCTTGTTTGGTTCAGACGTTCATACTTTTCAGTTCAAATAACAGGTGTGAAAGGTGCCTCAGACCAAATTTAGTCCGACCAAAAGAGGGGACCCCGGTCCGCATCAAACTGAACCATGTTATTCTTTGTTTGCAGTGTGAAATACTGATGTTAGTGATGCTGGTAAACATAATGATATGATGAAATTAACGTTTCATTGATTTTCTCAAATAGAAATGAAAGATTATACCTGCTGAACTAAAAAAAAAAAACACCTTTGTTCAAGCTTTCAGGTATGATAGGGCTCTTATTAGCCATGAGCTTTATTATAATAAACATACAGGGTTCCATATAACAAGATCTAATTCAATCAAGTGCTAATACATCCGCATTGCATTGAATCACCCACAAAGCCAGTAGACAAAGAACAATAAGCTTTTCAGCTCTGGGGAGAAAGGTTTATGTCTCTTAGGCTTCAGCATTCGTCTTGCATCATTTCATGCTGGACAGATAAACTGCAACCAGCTTGTGTGAGCTTATGACCTGGAAGAAGAGGTTAATGGTTTTATATGGGGGGCATCTGATGACAGCGATGTGGCTCAGTGTAAAGGGTTCCATAGATTTGTAAGATAGGCTTCACCAGCAGCCCTTTCACATCTCAGGGAGATGTTTGTTGAAGTATTATTAATAGATGAATTGCCTAATGGAGTTTTTTATTTTATTTGCTTATTTAACCCTTAAAGACCTGCTGTACCCTTTACGAAAGCAAAAGCACAACAAATTTAAAAGCTTCCTATTAATAAGTCGTTGATTTTCCCTTGGTAACTGGATATGACTGGACATAAGAATATGTCTGACATTTTACCATCTACATTTTGCATTCCCGATGTGAATTGTAGCCAATCATTATGTATTTCATATGTCACTGATTACACCATATAGAGTGGGCATCTCTTCCAATTCTACAGAAAGGAGAGACATTGTACCGGTTCTTAAATGATGACACATGCATATGCTGCAACCAGCAGCTTAAATCACATTTTTATGCACTAGAGTATTTGATTTTATGACTATCGCATATCAAGAGAAACGCATTTTAACAGAAGCAAAATACCCCCTGACACTGACATAAAAAGCAACAAGTAGCCATGAAGATTTTAACGATTATGAGGAAATTAAATGATTGTTTGATGTTTCAACATATTAAATAGCTGAGATGAAGTCAGTAAATCGCACATTATCCACCAAAACTGCCAGTTTGTGCTGCTTTTGTCCAAAGGGATGACAAAGCTAAATGCATGAGGTTTGTGAGCCCATCCATCTCTGGATGGGGTGCCAGACAATTTGTAGGTCACCCTTTAGATTTGTCTCTTCCAGTTGGCAGAGACGTGACGAGACCTGACACCAGAAATTAATTTGAACAAACATAGTGAATCTTTAGTGTCTCAGTCAGTGGGAACAAAGTGCCCTTCCACTATGCACCTGAACCATGAAACCGACTGTCTGGGAGTGTCTAGACATCCACACACACAAAGCATACCCTTGTCTTAACACATATAAACAATTATATCATGCACTGTTTTAATGCATGACACAAAGTCACATTTTGCTTAAGCTCTTGTATTCTTGGCAAAATACACACAATTAATCAGCAATTCCATGCACACCGTCATTTTCTGCTTCTATCCTACAGTGAAATTGCAATAGTGTCAACTCGAAAGCGGCACAGTGACGCAGCATCTTTGCAGCAGAACCCAAAGGCATATGCAGTGAAGAGAGAGGGAGAGACAAAGGGGTGTGTGAGGGGGGGAAACGGAGAGAGAGAGAGAGAGAGAGAGGAAGAGACTGAGCTACACACCTGACTAGATGGGGTGTTGTCTTCTGTGGCTTCGAAGAAAGGATAACATCCGAGACCTGAGAGGGTGAGAGAGGATGAGGGGAAAGAACAGTAATGAGGGGAAGAGAGAGGAGAGAGAGGGGGGAGAGAGAGAGATTAGATTTGGCTGCCAGTAGTTTGGGAGAGCAGAGGCAGGTGGCACCTCAGTTAACACACACAAACACACACTTCCTCAGTCCATCTTATGGACTGATGGAAAGGAAGGGAGGTGGAGGTGATGAAGTACTAAGAAGTGGTTGAGAAGGGAGAGTGTGACTGATACTGGTTCCCAATCAACTGAGAATCTACAGAAAGTGATAAAGCGACAGCAAAGGGGAATGTGTGTGTGCATGTGTGTGCGCCTTAATGTCACATGTACAGCGCTCATTTGACAGCAGCCACAAAGACTGACATATCTCCGCATCTGTTCTCTTCTCCTCTCTTGCTCACACACACACACACACACACACACGCACACACACACACACGCACACACACACACAGTGGAACGCCTCATGAAAGGGTAAACGCAACCACGTGGCTCCATTTATCAGATGCACAGTCGCACACGAGAGCTGACACAGACTAACTGGCTTTAGTCCAACACCCACAGTCTGAAAATGCTATTAAATTCACCCATTGTGGGCCACTGTGGGTATCTCAGCATGAGGGCAATGGGTTCATGATATGAATTACACTGAACCAGCAGCAGACAACATAAATCATCAATGTCAAAGAACTTGGCGACATTGCATTTCTAATAACCAGCCCCATGCGGTCATTTATTGATACAAAGGTTTCCTAGATCTTAGTAGCCCTAGCAACAAGGTCAGCAAAGGAAGACAGAAGTCCTTTTACATCTTCATCACTTAATCCTGGCACTTCTGGATGATGCCAACACTCTTGGATGAGACATGAAGTCCCAAGTGTTAAGAACGAATACAACAAATGCAAAGATCCAGGGCTGCCCCCTAAATGTCAATGATTTGAATCATTCAGTTGAGAATCCCCAAGTAGAATAATGTGTTGTCAGTTTCCAGCTGTGACGCTGATAACAGCACAGCATGAGATGCATTTATACAGACCGCTTCACCCTAAAACAGTCAACAGTAGTAGACTAAATGGAATCCAGAGCAGTGCCCCTTAATTTTTGTTCACAGCTCTGATGCTCTCATCGTCAGTGGAACATGTTATTAAAGTCGACTAAACTAAACTTTCAGCCAGATCCTACTTCTGCCCACAAGTCCGGTGGCAGCGTTGTCAGGAGACATACAGTATATGTGAGATGTTCTGTGGGCGAGGATTTATAACTGTCGTGAAAAATTATGAGATGACTAAAGACAATAAAATGCAAGTCTTGTAGATAAATCAGAAACTTGATGTGTATGATTTTACTGTAAATTAACTTAGTGTGGAAAAGCTGCTCTGCTGGTGAAGGTATCTTTAAATACTGTACAGATCATCTGTCATAAGTTTTACTTTGCATATTCGCCCCATAATGGGAAATTGTTATCTCAGGTACAGCTCTACAGTCCGTTCAATGAACTCATCACCTTCTTGTGAGCGGAGAGGATGCTTGCAATCAAATTCTTCAAGTAATTACACAAAGCTTGTGACCATGGGCTCAACAAACATTTTGAACTCTCGTTATTACAGCCACTACACATAAGTGGCAGTGGTATAGAAACTCAGCTGATAGGAACTACCAGAAGTAATTTCCTTCAACACTGATTTATTGTTGGATAGCAGCAGCTCATCTAAATAATGTGTTTGCACAATATAATACAGAAGAGTCTAAACCTGCAATATGTGGCGATGCATTACCCATTCAGAAAATGGATCCTCCAGACATCTGCAGTGATAATCTGTTAATGAGTTCATCTAAACAGGAAAGAGGCGGCGTAATACAGGTCTACGGCCCCTAAATGTGCTCGACATAGAACAAGATCAGTGTTCATGTTCTTGGCAATGACTGCACATAAAAGAATAGCTGAACTACTTTCAGTATAAAGCCTGGGAATTTGTACTCCTGCACCTCCTGAGGAAAACCTCCTCTTTTGCACACAGCACATCCAGGAGGTTTCATAAATGAAATACAAATGTTCTCTGAGAGGGTAAAGCACTGGTCTGATGTAACATACAAGAGATATCAAGATAAAACAGACGCAAAGCAAAATCTGTGCTTTCTTCATAGATTACAGTAGTTTATCAAATTCATGTTTGCATTTTGCTTTTGACAGGGAACACAGGGTCACTCAAGTCTTGCAACAGTGCAGCCCAACACCAGCGACAACTTTATTTATGAATCTAGTTCCAGGGAGAAGTCTTTGTAATGTAATGTGTAGGTAATCGTATTGTTCAACTTCCTATACTTGAAATAAGCAGGAGGGAGACATGGTCTCATTCAGTGTATGAGTTTCATCAAACCTAATCTGTCTTAATCAATGGGCATAAGCAGTTACTGGGGCTTGACCCCATTATCTCACAGTCTGAATCTCCGTCATTTGAAAAGTCTTGAAATCAGTCACTTGTAGACAGAGACATGATTTGCTGAACTCTTTTCTCTCATTGGGAAAAGGCTCAAACAAGTTTTCTCATGGTTGAATCATCTCTATGCTGGAATTTCATTTTTATTGACAAAGGCTTAATTTTATTCAGTGCCTTGCTGCTGTAGGTATTTCCAACACCCCATGCTCTTCTAGAGACAAAACAAACATCAATACAACTACCAGCTAATATGTGGGAGGCAACTCCTCTTGTTATCTACAATGCTACTTCATAGCTTCCTCCTGATGAATGAGAACTTAACACCTCCTCAGAGACCTCAGCATGCTGTCCTGCTCAGCCTTCTTCTGCCGTCTTATTCATGGGAATTCTTCTTCATCTGATCAAATGGTGTTTGACAGAGAAACTGTCAACAGCTTAAACAAACGCTTCCGATAGCAGCGGATCAGAAGTGTAAAATGTTTAAGAGGAATTTTGCAACAAACCAGCACAGACTAGAAGGTCTGGTGTGAATGGCTCTCTGAGCTCATTCCACATATCTGTCTGTCAAAAGCAAAGATTTGACTTGTTTTGCAGTTACTACTTTGACATTTAGGGTCATTGTCCTGCTGCAGCCAACGTCTACTGAGCTCCAGCTGACAATTACCCCCTCAACAATGCCCGCCCCCCCCCCCACAGTACAGCACTGTTGGCATAATATTTTTCTTGTTTACCTCGTATAAAGCTTCATGATCTTCCCAAACAATTGAAACAAAGTTTTATCAAAACATTGCCCCAGCAGCGTTTACGGAGTGTCAAGGTGCTCTTTGGTAAACATACAGGGATTAACATCTCATGTATAATCCATGAGTGACTTCAGGCCTCTGTTAATCTGACAAAGCTTTAAATTGTGAATACGTTGAAACAACAGCAATTTATTTTTTTATGGCATTTTTTTAGTTTTAGTAGTCTGTTTCAATTTAAAGGAACTTCCACCTGATCAGCTCCAATTCTTACATGAATGCATAATGGTCTCACTTGCTATTATTCAATTACCTTGTAAAGTGAAACTACATGGCTTGCTCTTTGATCATTTTGGGCAAAAGTACAGTTCACTTCCTGTTGAATGTGTTGTTTGGTTGATTTTTCAGTTTCAAATTAATTTATTCAATAAATATATTAAGTTATGAGATATTTTTAGGGGTGTGCTGGGATTATGATTAACTACATGTTTAAATACAAAATGAGAATGCAAAATCAGATAATTCAGAGATTAAGTAAATTGTGTAATCTCAAGAAAATAGGTACGGAGTGCATTGCAAGGGACTACATCTTTAATCAAATGCAGAGCGGGTCTGTTGCTGTACATGTTTCACTTATTCCACTGATTCTGCCCTTTCAGAGATCTCTCAGCCGCGAAATAACTATAATTCACCATCATGCCAAAGCCCAGAGAGACACACACAGTCTGTGACAAAGGAAATTAGGAGTCTGGGACTAAAATCAGCAACTGAAACAGTGAAACACTAACTGCCAAAGTCAGCCTGAGTTTTTGCTACTAGTGACTTGATGGCAGGTATCAAATTCAGTTACTAGTGGTAAACATAATTCTGCCCATAATTATGATTTATAAAATTGTCTTTTCCTTGGGACAGTTTTATATACTGAAAAGGAAACACGGAATTAAATGCTGATGTGATGAGATCAGATTAAAGTAATTTAACTGTCTAAAAAAGACAGATAGACGGACATGAATACATGATCCAGTTTGTTTGCGTCTGCAAAATCCGTAAAATGAGAATCAGAAATCAACTATGATCGTCCAAAGATATTAAAGCCCGGAGGCATAACAAATGGATATGTTTTCAAGGGCACCAGCAGCATATTTTTGAGATCAATTAACAACTGAGATGGTAGAACAGATCTGTTAATCTTTTTCTTTTTTGTGCCAATATTGTACATTTTGTCAGTGACAGACTACACTCATTGTTGGGCTATCTAGTGTCATTAGGAGGTCTTTGTCCATTAAATCTATTTTTGGCCAAGTGTTTCTCAATCCATCTCTGAGTTTCGCAAAAGGAACCCCTGCATTAAAATCACAAAGAGTCGTGTCCCTCTGTGTGTTTTGTTAAAACACCAAATCAAACAGAACAGACTCTTCCTTCCTTGAAAAGCAGAAAAAGCACCATATGCCAACATGATATACACACCAGGAGGCAACAGGGCAAAGAAAGCAGGCAAATAATTGGGGTGATGAAAAGGTCAGGGGAAAAAAGAGAGTAAACTATACACAATAATACAAAAATCCCTCCTCATCAGACGCATTAATCCCTGTATTTTAAATAAGTATCAGTCTTTCCTTCCTGTCCCTGGGCAATAAATTACCAGCGAGACAAATCACATTTGAGTTTCATAATGTAATTAGTTTGGGCAACAGTAGAAGCAAAGCAAAGCAGGAATGTGAAGACAAGACAAATGGCACTGTACTATATATTAATTACATCACCAATTAGCTTAAAGCAACATTATTCATCTATTTACCTTAAATAACAGT